CCACCCCCCCCCCCCAACCACCACCTCTTTGTTCTCCTTCTGGTCCACTCACATGCAAAAGTAAAGAGAACATTTGCCATTCAGAGAACACCCTGCATTTTCTTAATTAATGCAAAATGTTATCTGATTGGACGAGGTGGAGATTTTGATGTCATTGGCCCTGCTTTTTTACCTAGTCTAATCAAATAATTGCTGTGCATTCAATGACAAAACTTAAACCTGGGTGAATGTAACTATTTAAAAATTGTGCAGAAACCAATAAACCCTTGCACTGCTATAGAAACCGCCTCCCATGTGTATCAGTGAAATAAAAAGCATATAACTGGTGTACAGCTATATTCAAATAAATATTCAGACTTTCTTGTGTATATTTTTTAAAAACATGCAAACACAAACAAATAATTCAAAAATTGTTTCAAAACGTCCCAGTGCAAAAGCCGTTTGTATTTCCTCCATAGTGTTTCGTGACACATTGATATATATAAAGAAAACTGTGAACTTTTGTCCATTGTGCATACTCCTTCACTCTTTACACCTCCAGTGCTCACCATCTGGTATATCTGACCCACATATAGGGCTAGATTTACTAAAACTGATGCAGTCATGGTCTGGTGCAGCTGTGCATGGTAGCCAATCAGCTTCTAACTTCACCTTGTTCAATTAAATTTTGGCAAAAAAAAATGGAAGCTGACTGGTTTCTATGCAGATTTGCACCAGATTTTGCACCCTTCAATTTTAGTAAATCAACCCCAATAATGTAAGGTCAATAATAGCGCAGGTTCCCTTTAAATGGATTGCTCACTCCTCAGCTGGTTCCTCCTCCTGCACACCTCTTCTCCAAATGATGGAAAAAAAAAATCAAATTAAACTCATAGTGCTGCACCTTTAACAATCTCTTTTATTGACACATATTGAAATAAAATCACTCACATTCTCACAGTGCACAAAGCTGCATCAACAAGCAAAAGCCTCATTGTGTATTACATATGCTGGTCTCCAGCTCTGGCTAACTGCAAAGGATACCACACTTCTGGGTTCCAGTTTCTGCCTTGCGTAATGACGTAATCCAGTTAGTCCACCCACCCCTACACGTTTCGTCACAGGGACACATGACTCAGGGACCCCCCTGAGAAAGTCACATGTCCCTGTGATGAAACTTGTAGGGGCAGGGCTAATTGGATGACATTATTATGCAAAACAGAACTCTTTTATTCACGCATAATGAAATATAATCACTCACATTCTCACAGTGCACAAAGCTGCATCAACAAGAAAAAGCCACATTCTATATTACATATTCCGGTCTCCAGCTTTGGCTAATTGCAATGGATACCACACTTCCGGGTTCCAATTTCTGCCTTGCATAATGATGTCATCATGTTAGTCCCACCCCTACACTTTTCATTACAGGGACACGTGACTCAGGGACCCCCCTGAGAAAGTCACATGTCCCTGTAATGAAACATGTAGGGGCAGGGCTAATTGGATGACATCATTATGAAAAGCAGAACTCTTTTATTCACGCATAATGAAATATAATCACTCACATTCTCACAGTGCACAAAGCTGCATCAACAAGCAAAAGCCTCATTGTGTATTACATATGCTGGTCTCCAGCTCTGGCTAACTGCAATGGATACCACACTTCTGGGTTCCAGTTTCTGCCTTGCGTAATGATGTCATCCAGTTAGTTCCACCCCTCCACAGGGACACGTGACTCAGGGACCCCTCTGAGAAAGTCACATGCCCCTGTGATGAAACTTGTAGGGGCAGGGCTAATTGGGGGACATCATTATGCAAAGTGGAACCCGGAACTATGGTATCCATTGCAGTTAGATGGAGATGGAGACTTGCATCTGTAATACATATTGTGGCTTTTGATTGTTGCTGCAGCATTGTGCACTGTGAGAATTAATATATTTTATTATGGGTGAATAAAAGAGATCGTTAAAGGTGAAGCACTATGAGTTTCTGTTTGTTTTTTTTATGATTTGGCAGTAATCCACAGAGTAACAGCTGCATGTTGATGGTGAGAACTCCCACCAACGTTATGGGGCAGAAATGAGCCCCTATTTATATGGTATGACTTGTAGAGGGCGGTAAACTTCTGAGAAAGAGCTGAAAATTTGGCCAGCAGCGTTAACCCTTCCTTCTCTGATCCACAAACCTAGCAGGTCAACCAAGGACAAGTGTTGCAAAAAGATACATTGTAACATTTGGTTTGTACACATAAACACAGTTAACCTGAGTAACCCCAGAGTTCATACACAACAGTATAGAAAAACGTTTAACCCTTTAGAAGCACATACTTAGTCTTCATGCACACTGGACATTTTTTACAGCTGCTGTTTTTGGCTTTTGACTTTTTTTTTTGCAGCCAGTAAACTCCCAAGCAGGGGCGGACTGACAACTCATGGGACCCCCGGGCAATAGGAAATCATGGGGCCCCTGTGTCCTCGCCCACACTCAAACCACATCCAAAAAAGCCTATGAAAGGTACCAGGGCATCTCAAGGGGCCCCCTACTGACCCAGGGCCATCGGGGCACTGCCCGAGTGGCTAAATGGTCAGTTCGCCCCTGCTCCCCAGCATGTTATCCTATGTGTCCATGCCGGACTTATGGGGCCCCGGGGCAATAGGGGATCATGGGGCCCCTGTGTCCTTGCCTACAATCAAACTACACCCAAAAAAAGCCTATGAAAGGTACCAAGGGCATCTCATGGGGCCCCCTACTGACCCCCGGGCCCTCGGGCAGTGCCCGAGTTCCCAAATGGTCAGTCCGCCCCTGGTCCATGCACACATAGACTGTAATCAATGTTTTTTGGTTGGAAAAAAAACCCAGAACTATTGGGTTTCCTAGGAGTTTTTTAGCTGTAAAAATGCTCTAACTTTCAAAAAAAAGTGGCAAAACACAGTAAATCGCAGCAAACCAGCATTTTTGGACTTTTCTTGACCAAAAAAAAAAATTTTTTTTTGGTAAAAAAACCCAAAAAAGCGCAAACGTGAAAAAAAACGCTGCAAAATGCCACTAAGTGCTAATACAAAAAAGCTAAAAAAAAGCTGAAAAACACATTTTTAATGTGACTTTACGCAGCTAACGTTAAAAAATAGTCACTGTCTGCACATCTGTACGATTAATGTACCTGTATTGCATTTAATTGATTTAAACTGAAAAAAAAGGCTTTAAAATGTATGTAAACCTAGCAAAACAAATAAAAACTTGTACAATAGTAGCTTACTCGCCAACTGTTCTAGAGGTGTGTCATTTTTTTTTTCATTACCTTGCCTTTATTTTGGTGATCCTTCCAGTGTCCTTACTTCCTATAGTAAAATGCAGGGGCGGACTGACCATTTGGAAACTTGGGCACTGCATGAGATGCCCCTGGTACCTTTTTCATAGGCTTTTTGAGTTTGGGCAAGGACACAGGGGCCCCATGATCCCCTATTGCCCGGGGGCCCCATGAGTTGTCAGTCCGCCCCTGGTAAAATGTCAAGCATCTTTCCACTTTTGCAGTCAAATTTGAAAAAACCTACTAAATGCTTATGTATTCTCATTCACACAGCATATTTAACCACTTGCCGATCGTCTTGTAGCAGTTTTGTTCCTACAGGGTGGCCGCTGTGCATAAAATCATGTATATACAGTATACGTGATTTCACATTTCTGGGTAGGGAGCATGCACTCTGTCCCTGGCTCCTGTAGGTGTCAATCACAGAGTCCCGGCCAGGACTTGGTGATCAGCAGAGCAGCTGATAGGAGAGAGATCTGTGAGTGTAAACAACACAGCTCTCTCTCCTGTCAGCGGGGACATGCTGGTTTTTATCTCTCTGCAAAGCAGGGAGATAAAAGCCAGCACATCCCCTTGTAAAACAGCACAGTACACAGTGTAATCACTCACTAACACACAGTTAACCTTTTGATCACCCCAGATGTTAACCCCTTCCCACACAGTGTCATTAGTACAGTGTCAGTGCTTTGATTAGCACTGATCACTGTATTAGTGTCACTGGATATGTCAGTTGCAATTAGTAATTTCCTACCCAGTGTCAGTGTCAGAATGCCCACCGTACTATCGCAGATCCACTGTAATCGCTGATCGCCACCATTATGAGCATAAAAAAAAAGAAAATTCCAGTATATACACTGCCATTTGTAGACACTATAACTTTCACGCAAGCCAATTAATACACATTTATTGGGATTTTTTTTTACCAAAAACATGTAGCAGAATACATTTTTGGCCTAAATTTATGAAGAAATTTAATTTTTTTAAATTTTTTTATTGGATATGTTTTATAGCAAAAAAATAAAAAATATTGCTTTTTTAAAATATTCTGTCTTTTCTCATTTATAGCGCATAAAAATTAAAAACCCAGTGATGATTAAATACCACCAAAAAAAAAAGCTCATGGTGTGGAATAAATTTCATTTGTGTACAGTGTTGCAGGACCATGCAATTGTCAGTTAAAGTAACACACCGCCATATAGCAAAAAATGGTCTGGTCATGAAGGGGGGTAAATCTTTCGGAGAGCAAGTGGTTAAAAAAAGAATATTTCTTCCCTAATCTTGCCCCCCCCCCCCCCCCCTCTCCTCTCCCTCTCCCCTTTTTTTTCTTTTCATTTTTTTTCCACCTTCAGAGCCATTCAGAGCAGTGTGCAGGAGCTGTCAGGGGAGAGATCTGTGTTGTTTATACACAGGTCTCTCTCCCGTCGGAGATACTCAGCGATCGCCAAGTGCCAGTGGTGAGTCACCGGCAGGGGCCCAGTGATTGACAGGCCGCAAATGGCACTGCGGGTAGTACCGCACTTGCCCCCAACCGAGAACTGCAAAATCACGTATATATGTGTGATTTTGCACAGCCATGCCGCCCTGTATTTCTGCTGTAAGGCGGCAAAAAAGCGGTTAAAGCAGAAATAAAGGAAATGTGTTTTTTTTTTTTTTTCCATTTTTGGATAGAGTAAGGGAGGGTTATAACCCCTGTTAGTTTTTTGCCAGCTGTGTCCCATTGGAAAGGTTTCCCTTCACTTCCTGTCCCATAGCCAAACCAGGAAGTGAGAGGAAAGCCCTGCAAAGTGAGGAAATCACCAGAACTAGTATCCCATTTGAAAGATGTCCTCTTTATTCCTGTTCCGGGGACAACCCAAAATATGAGAATTTTCTTTTACTTTCATTCTCAGTGATAACAAAATTCAGGATAAATAGAGAGGGTGAATCTCTCTAATGGGGGCACAGACAGCAATAATAACTGACTGGTGTTCTAATCCCTCTCCACTCCATCCAAAGTAGAAACAACCTTATACTTCCTAGATCAGCCTTTTCCAACCAAGGTGCCTTCAGGCTTCTTCAGGGGTGCCTTGGTAAAAGGCCTAAAAATTGCCTAAAAACTGTTTACAAGCCAGTGGGTGGATCAAGCCTGCCTTTTAGTCAGGGCGGACTGACAACTCATGGGGCCCCTGGATAATAGGGGATCATGGGGCCCCTGTGTCCTCGCCCACGCTCAAAGCACTCCCAAAAAAGCCTATGAAAAGGTACCAGGGGCATCTCATGGGGCCCCCTACTGACCCCGTGCCCGAGTGTTCGAATGGTCAGTCCGCCCCTGCTTTTAGTACACAAAGATACAGGTTTTCATTGTGCACCATTACAACCTTTCAGCCGCCAGTGTCCTAACAACCAATGATGTCATTGGTTGGTAAGGAAGTCTTTGGGCACCTGCACAGCATCCTTGCTTGCCCCTTTTCATTAGCACTGGGGTCACATTAGCAGAATGAGGGAGAGAAACAATGCAATACTAGTCAGTACCAGGGTGCAAATGTGTGTTTTCTTTGGAATAAATCACCTCTAGCATTGGGTGTCCTATAGCCAGGTATCAGCAGCAACGTTGTTCTAAGCATCGGTCCTCCTTATCCACTGCACATCTGTACCAGTCTAAGAGGCTGGTCAGCAGCTCTGAGGAAAGGGACTTGTCCCCGAAACGCGTCAGACATTTGACCGCACTGACAGTTGGAACACCTGCCTGCCGTTGTGGCTGTCTTCTTAATGCAAAAGCTTTTTATATACATGCTTCATCTGTGAGTATGTTTTTGTGTTTTATATCTTTGAATAAACCTTGGATAATGCACTAGGTGTGTGCCACCTGTTTATTCTTTATCTAGTGGCTGATCTCCCCGTCTGAGGAGGGCTGCACCCCTGAAGCATCTTCCTTTGGTTGCCTCTGTCCTGGTTCCCATTGGCTTCGCTTTGGCTGTCTATTTCCTGAAGCGCTGGAGAGTACATAAAATATCCGATTGGGTGTCCTATGTGTGTGGATGTTGCTGCATTACGTAAAAGTTTCATTTTTTTACATTTTAAAATGGGGTGCCTTGAGACTGTGCATACTTTTAAGGGGTGTCTTTACTGAAAACACTGTCCTAGAACATTTTCTCCTGGATTTAGCTGTATAAGACCAGGCTAGATGGTCCCATAATGTAGAAATGTCTTGTTTCGGTACACGCAGTTAGACTGAATGCAGTTAAAGGCACCTGAACGTCTAGGTGTGCGTTCAGTTATAGTAAAGCTTTACATGCTTCCAGATGCATTTAGAAATGAGCTGTAAGCGCATCTGGACACGTGTTTTGACAGCTGCATGCAGGGCTGCTGCTAGGAACCATGGGGCCCCATACAGCTAACTTGACAAGGCCCCCCCCCCACAAAAACACAGTTTACTAAGCTTCAGTTATGAATGAACACAGCGAGTGATTGTTACCCATTCATTGTGTTCATTCAGGAAAGGAAGGGGTTGGTAAATGTGACATATTTACCAGACCCTTCCCCCACTCTCCATCCTGAAGGATCCTATTGTGTGCTTGCAGCTGCCGGTAGGAAGGAGAGGAAGGAAGCCGGCAGCACTGCAGGGGTGGGGGTACACAGGGGGAACTGGGCAGCAGGGGGGAAATGATGGTGTACAGGGAGGGTGATGAGTGTGTGGTGGTGGGGGGGGGGGCAATTACTGGAACCAATCCCCTGTATGGCTCTCTTTGCAGCAGCTGAAAGCCAATGGGAGGGAGAGCAGAAGAAGCCAGCTTTCAGCTGCTCCAGAGATAGCCATACAAGGGAAGGGGATTAGTTCCAGTAATTGCCCCCCTGCCATGCTGATCACCCTCCCTACCCACATCCGATTCACCCAGCTGCCTGGGCCCCGTACAGGAGGACTGGTGATACCCCCATATCCATGGTTCTAGCTGCATGCAAGGGGCCTAACTAACAGTGGGTTCTATATACTGTACATCATGAAGACAAACTTTGCAAGCAATTATTAAAAAGTAACAATTACATTTTACAAGGGTAAGATTTATTGTGTTACCAGGCTTAACCTCTTGGTGTCGGCTGCATACAAATGTGCGGCCTCCCGGGGTCTGGGCCTTGACGCCGAGCGGCCGCACATTTGCATGCAATTAAGAAAAACATACGTGGGGAGAGCGCGTGCCCAGCACGCTCCCAGCACACATGTCCAGTACTGACGGAAAGGTCCCGATCTCCTCTTGCGATCTGGACCTTTCCCGAATCATGTGACAGCGAATCACAGAGGTCACATGACGATAAAACCCCGCCCCGCCTTCCGACTTCTGAAACCCTTAAAGGGCCGGGAGGCACCAGTGCCAAGGGGTTAAAGTAGTTGTAAATCATTGGTATGAAATATAGAGAAAGTATATCCATCTATAGTGTGTACTTGTCCCAATTAAGAGCACTAAGTGTCATTTCTGTCTGCTGCCTCCTCCCTCTGCTATCTGCTTAAAGTGGAGCTCCACCCAAAAGGGGAAGTTCCGCTTTAAGGACTGCTCCCCCATTAAGGATTGGCAGCCTAGGTGATCGGAAGCGGAAGGTGTCCTCCCTCCCTCCCTGTAGTCTTTTGGGACACATGACAGGTCCCAGAAGACTACAGGACCATTCATGAAGAGCAGGGGTACTCGCGCATGCGCAGTGGGTACCCGGCTGTGAAACCGCAAGCTATCACAGCCGGGTGCCCACACTGAAGATGCTGGCCTCCTGGAGTACAGGACGGCCAGTGAAACGAGCTGTGGGGGACACACCACAGGAGCAAGGGACAGGTAAGTGGCTGTTTTTTAAAAGTCAGCAGCTACAGTTTTTGTAGTTGCTGACTTTTATTTTTTGATAGGTCGAGTGGAACTCCGCTTTAAGTCACTTCTGACAGGTTTTCCTGACACCAAAAGCTAAAAACACGACATAGGAGGGAGCTCCAGCACACAGCCTGTGATTAACAGCCTCATCTCTCTTCCTGTGTGCTGTGTGAAGGGGGTGTGTCCTCTCCTTCCAATCAGCTCTCATTAAGCTCTGCTGTGTGTAACTTCAGCTCCCCGCCCCCTGCCTTCTGAAAGCTCAGACAAGCTATATACATTCTTAAAGGATGTAGAGAACAGAGGGCTTCAAATAAACCGGTACAACTTTTGTAGGATGATTTATCTAATCTCTGTATATCACCTCAGGCCAGTAACTTCACTGGGTATATGTAAGGGTTTACAACCACTTTAAGTTGAAGAATGGCCTATAACTGTTAGTGTTTATTTGAACAGCAGAAAAACATGTAGGAAGTGGGCTTGACCAAGAAAGACATAGGACACCACATCCAAAAATTAGAAAATCCTCAAGAAAATACATGGACTTTTTAGGTGCCACAAAAACTAACACAAAATTACACTTAAATTACATTTTAACAGGGGGAATATTCTCCATGTAACAATTTATTCATAGAAAAGTTTAAAAACAGCACAGCTAAAATACATTAAAAAAAGAATTCTTTCAGCAACAAAAACACCACCATATGGCACATTTAGGTTCACCATCACATTAATACAAAATACAGGAGCAATAACTCTTAAAAGAATATAAAGTCCATTTCAGAGATGACTGTAGTTGTTTTGCAGTAAACCATGCCTGCTTCTTCAGGAAAAAAGTAGCTTCTGCTAGAAAAAAGAAAAATATAAAAAATACAAAAAAACAAATTAATGTAAATAAAATACAAAGTTACATTATGTGACAGAACTTGATACATACAAGGCATATGTAGATGGATAACGCTCCACAATACTCCCATGTGATGAAAGCCATATCAAGCAAGAAAAAAAGAGGGGAGGCCTTTTGGATCAACCAGGTTGGTTGGATACAGGTATCCCCCATGTGCGGATGCAGGGAACACAGGGTACCCCAAGAAAGGCTTTTATTCAAATTTGTAAAAATAACCCAGTGAAAATAAGTAATGATACTATATTGTACTTCCAAACAAACTATAGACATAAATCGCTACCAATAATCAAATCCACCTACCTAGGTGTGGTACACAAAATGCCCATACAACCAGGGGAGGACACAGACTGAGCAAACTGTAGAATACATAACTAGAAAGGACTGGTTAATCCAAAGCAAATACTTTCATAAAGCCAGAGATAGAACATCATAAATGAATCCCCCCCTCCCCGAAAGGAATTCTGGAACCACGCCAGGTGTGGGTTTCAACAAATAGACAGCTTCGCTATCTCTAAAAATAATAATAAAACCATTGTGAATGAACCTCATAAAGGGAAAGAGAATACCATACAGAAACCCAAATATTAAAGAAAATGGGTCTTACCATCGCTTCTAAACAGAGGTATGAGATTATAGCTGCATTTGTCCAACACGCAGACAGTGCTGATGCTATCAAGCAGGGTAAGGATTCCACTATATATGCTCCCACTGGAGCGTGTCCACGCCTTCCGAATAGCCAGCGTGTGACCTCACTACTGACTGGGTGCCGCACTAGAGCACAAGCGTGATCAGCCAAAATGAACAGTAAAAGTGTCATCTTTAATGAAGTGTTCTTTATCACTGGCTACTGCAGTGTTTGTATAAATTTCTACTTTTTGCAGACACCTTTCAGCGTCAAATGTCCAGCGCTGAGACCTGTGGTTCTGGCTGCAGTACACTGATCATCTGACTCCTTATTTTCACTGAATGGAAGACTTTCTGTGATTGAAGGAGGTGCAGATGAACATCAATCTCCGTCCTCCACTCATAAAAAAGCCTTTTTTCACAGGTTGTAAGGCATTTTGTGATTGGAGGAGGGGATTGTGACATTCATCTGCACCTCCTCCAGTCACAGAAAGCCTTGCACTGAGTGAAAATAAGGCAAGGCCTTTTCTCAATAGAGGAGGTGCTGAGTGAGTGACCTTCTGTGATATCTGTACTGCAGCTTGAACTACAGGTCTCAGTGCTAGATAGTCAGTGCCAACAGGAGACTGCAGCCTGAAAAAAGTAAAAGCAGCAAGAGATGGGACACAATTCATTAGCGGTAACTCAAGCTGGCCATACACTTATTGAAACTCAGTTGGTCCAGCAGGGACCAGCCATATTTCGATCAGTATGTGGGCTACCCTACTCAACATAAATTGATTGTATAATGGACTTCAGTTGAAGGAAGATGTTGAAAAGTTTTCCCATTGATCAACGGCTGAAACTGCTGATCAGTGTATTTAGAACACAGTGTCCTGGCAGATACCTCATCTGTGTGGATGGAGAAATCTGCCCGTTTTTTGTTTTTTTCTTTATATGTCTGCTGGCTTAACAAAAGGATACTAACTGTGTATGACCAGCTTTATTTTCACTGTGCAAATGTACAAAACAGCTTTTGGCCATAATTCAGCTTTAAAGAGAACCAGATGTGCATATTTCATCTTAAATAGACATAACTGTACAGTCTTGTTTAGAAACAAATTAAATCTCTCTCCTTAGAGCATAAATTAACTGAAAACTGTAAAAAATGTGAGCAGGCAGGCCCTTTATTGTAGAGGAAACATGCTATGAATAGATTCCTGTGCACACACGTGGAAATTAAGTAATTCCAGCCTAGCCAATCGAAATGAACCAAGATCCTGGACATGGAAGAGGACCGGGCAAGGATGTTGGTGTAGCCAAGGGAGCAAGGGGAGGCAAGTTTAGTTCCACTTTAACCACTTGCCCTCCTGAAGATTTACCCCCTTCCTGACCAGGCCATTTTTTGTGATACGGCGCTGTGTTATTTTAACTGACAATTACACGGTCATGCAACATTGTACATAAATTAAATTTATGTCCTTTTTTTCCCACAAGTAGAGCTTTATTTCAGTGGTATTTGATCACCTGTGCATTTTTTATTTTTTGCACTGTAAACAAAAAAAGACTGACAATTTTGAAAAAACAACAATATTTTTTACTTTTTCCTATTGAACATGTCCAATAAAGAAATGTAAAAAATTAAATTTAGGCCAAAATGTATTCTGCTACATGTCTTTGCAAAAAAAAAAATCCCAATATGTGTAAATTCAAAGGTTTACGTGAAAGTTATAGCGTCTAGGAATGGTGGTATATATAACAGAATTTTTATTTGTTTAATTTTTTACTAATAATGCTGGCGATCAGTGACTCACTGCGGGACTGCGGCGGGCATTCTGACACTGGGGGGGAACGAACTGTCACTGACATCCCCAGTGACATTAATTCAGTGATTAGTGCTAATAAAGAGCACTGACACTGTACTAATAACAGTGGGTAGGAAGGGGCGATCAAAGGGTTAATTGTGTGCTGTGTGTTTTAGTGTGTAGACAAGCTGCTTTGTATTGTATTGCAGAGCAATACAAAGCAGCCTGTTTGTGCTGACAGGAGAGAGACATGCATTGTTCACATACAGACCTCTCCCCTGTCAGCTCTGCTGATGATCACGAGAATTGGCGGCCGGGACCCAGTGATTGACATGCCGAGGAGCCAATAGCAGGGTGGGTGGGGAGCGCACGTGCCCCCTACCCGGAAGCCACTAAGTTTACTTGATTTCTCTAAACCTGACACTTTTACTTAAAGTGGTTGTAAATCCTCACAAATACTCAGTGAAGTGACCGGCTTCAGATCATTCTCAGAGATGAAACAAATCCTCTCCCCTACAGGGGCTGACTGCCCACTCATGGAGCCCTTGGGCAATAGGGCATCATGGGGCCCCTGTGTCCTTGCCCAAACTCAAAAAGCCTATGAAAAAGGTACCAGGGGCATCTCATGGGGCCCCCTACTGACCCCGGGCCCTCGGGCAGTGCCCGAGTTTCCAAATGGTCAGTCCGCCCCTGCTCTCCTACATCCTTTCAAAGTGCAGAATTTACACAGGATCTCTCAGATCTGAAAAGCAGGAGGAAGAGAGTTAAAGTTACACCATTTTTTTCTTGGAGACTGAGAAGAGACTCATGCTTATAGCAGAGGAACAAGGCAGTAGACAGAAATGACATTTAGTGCTTTGGATTGAGACAAACACACATTATAGATGGATTTGCTTTTTCATATTTCTTGTCTGAGGTTTACAACCACTTTAAGTGTCAAGATTCAGAATTTACCTGTTGTCTACCTTGTCTGATCTATACACTGTCTTCCAACTGCTAATAGTGCATATCAGTGAATATTAACACTTCTTGTAGTTAAAGCGGAACTACACTGCATCTGAACACCACAAAGTAAAAAACACTATTTAGTTAATTTCCATTATTCAAAGCAAACTCACCCAACCATCCATGTCGCCATTCTTTATTTTGCTGAGAAATCACTTTGAAAAACCTCCCCCTAGAATTTCTGGCTGTGGCCATCTTGAATAAGGGCAAATGATTTATGTAGCATTTACTTTCTGGAATCCACTGCCCTTAGCTCAGGCATAGAGGCAGGAGAGTGTGCTCAGCTGAGATTAACCCTCCTCTCCACTTCCCCTCCTGAAGACTCCTGGGATGTATGACATAATTTGCCTAGGCATGGAAACCAGGAAGAAACTGAAGAAATGTTAAAAAAAAGGTTTAAAACAAGTAAATATGATGTACTTTCCTATCTATTCACTGGTACTAGCAGCATAAAGATTATAAATAGTCAATGTTGATTGAGAGAATGAAGTTCTGCTTTGAAGCAGGACTATACTTGAAGCAGGACTATACTTACCTTCACTCTAGCAAAGTGGTGTCCATGAATACCCATGCCAGCTGCTGACACCTTTGGCCAGTCTTCTTACAGGTTATGACCTTTGGCCTTTTTGATTAGTCAGGCCAGAATGACACTCATTAATCTCGGCAGATGCCAATATTGTACACTGAGCTGTGCATAAAATACAGTATGTCTCTTCTACATAAAAATATTCTGCCTGTTCAACAATATTATCAACATTCCAAGGCCAAGAAATACTCACCTATACTTCGCTGGTCTGAAGAGAGGTCCATCTTCAGCACCAGCATCTTCTCACCAGTTTTTTTTTTTTTTAGGTGCCGATCTTCAGCATCTTGATTGGCCGATGGGATGATATCACTTCTGCACATGCTCAGTCATTCATCCTGTCATACTGGCACTGTACCAGAAATGTAAATGAAGCTGCGCATGTGCAGCTCTATGTTTTGTGAAATTGGGAGATTATTAGCTCAGTGATAGAAACAATTTAAGTGAGTCCATGGCAGTCCGAACTGTGGTGTAGATCTTGATGGCCCAATTTTAGTAAACAAACTTACAGTGTTACTAAACCCAAAACAGTAAAATCAGTCTGTATATGCAGTAAAGTATGCTGGTTATACTCATTGTGGAAACCTAAGGGGTTAACCTTTATTCTACTGTCTCCAAACAGGGCCAGACCTAGCTTATCTGATCTGATCTGGGGGTGCAGTATGAAAAGTCAGGGATATAACATCAACACTGTGTGTATTACTGACAATCTGTCACAGTGTCACAACCTGGGAAAAATTATTATGTATTAGGCTGTCATTAGATTAGGGTAATTAAGGAAAACCTGTGTCCCCTTATATCATATGTCCCTGGCATAGTCCCCCTTTACATTAGGAGTCCTCATCAGAGTCCCTCTTTACATCATAATTACTCAGCAGAGTCCTCATTTACATCAGGTTCCCATCAGAGTGCTCAATTACATCAGGTATCCTCATCAGAGTACCCCCTTACATCAGTGTGCCCATCAGAGTGCCCTCTTATATCAGGTGTCTCCTTCAGAGTGCCCCCTTACATTAGTGTCCCCACCATTGTTCCCCCTTACATAAGGTGTCTCCAGCAGAGTGCCCCCTTACATCAGTAGTCCCATCAGTGTCCCCATCAGAGTGCCCCCTTACATCAAGTGTCCCCATCAGAGTGCCCCCTTTCATCAAGTGTGCCCCCTTACATCATGTACATGTATCCTCTTCAGAGTGCCCCCTTACATGGGTTGTCCCCATCAGAGTGCCACATTACATCAACTGTCTTCATGGATCAGTGGATGCACACTCAAGAGTACTGGAAGAAGGGGGGCACAACTAAAAATCTGGGGGGGGGGCACAGCCCACCCCAGCACCCCCTAGATCCAGCCCTGTCCCCAAACAAGTACAGAGCAACAAAAAAAAAAAAAATGTAATAAAAAGTAGCGGCCTAAAGCATTTGTATTCACAAATTATAAACACCGGACTCACCAATGTCAATGACAATCAGGTGGTGTTTAAGGAACCATACTAGTCTAAGCACAAAAGGTTTTCATGGAACTCATAGGGAGTCCACCATTAAAGGGGTTCCAAAGAAAACAGCAGCAGTAAATACACTATATTGCCCAAAGTATTGGAACACCCCCAAATTATTGGATTCAGGTGTTTTTCAACAATCACTTCCATGTCCACAGTTGTGTAAAATCAAGCACCTAGGCATGCAGACTGCTTCTACAAACATTTGTGAAAAGATGGATTGCTCTCAGGAGCTCAGTGAATTCAAGTGTGGTACCGTGATAGGTTGCCACCTGTGCAATAAGTCCATCTGTGAAATTTCCTTGCTACTAAATATTTCACGGTCAACTGTTATTGGTATTATAACAAAGTGAAAGCAACTGGGAACAACAGCAACTCCGCCACCAAGTGGTAGGCCACGTAAAATGACAGAGCGGGGTCAGCGCATGCTGAAGCTCACAGTGCGCAGAAGTCACCAAATGTCTGCAGAGTCAATAGCTAAAGACTTTCAAACTTCATCTGGCTTTCAGATTAGCACAACAACAGTGCGTAGAGAGCTTCATGGATAGGATTTCCATGGCTGAGCAGCTGCATCCAAGTCTTATATCACCAACTGCAATGCAAAGCATCAGATACAGTGGTGTAAAGAACGCCACCACTGGACTCTAGAGCAGTGGAGACGTGTTCTCTGGAGTGATGAATCATGCTTCTCTGTCTGGCAATCCGATGGACTTGTCTGGGTTTGGTGGTACTTGCCTGATTGTATTGTGCCAAGTGTAAAGTTTGGTGTAGGGGAGATTATGGTGTGGGGTTATTTTTCAGGGTTGGGTTGGCTCCTTAGTTCCAGTGAAGGGAATTCTTAAGGCGTCAGCATACCAAGACAGTTTGGACAATTTCATGCTCCCAACTTTGTTGGAACAGTTTGGGGATGGCCCCTTCCTGTTACAACATGACTGTGCAAAGGTCCATAAAGACATGGATGAGCGAGTTTGGGGTGGAGGAACTTGACTGGCCTGCACAGAGTCCTGACCTCAACTGATAGAACACATTTGGGATGAATTAGAGCAGAGATTGAGAGCCAGGCCTTCTTATCCGACATCAGTGCCTGCCCTCACAAATGCGCTTCTGGAAGAATGGTTAAAACATTCCCATAGACACACTCCTAAACCTTGTGGACAACCTTCCCAGAAGAGTTGAAGCTGTTATAGCTGCAAAGGGTGGGCCAACTCAATATTAAACCCTACAGACTAGGATTGGGATGCTATTAAAGTTCATGTGCGTGTAAAGGAAGGCGTCCCAATACTTTTGGCAAAATAATGTATGTATAAAAGATTTATAAACTTTACTCATTACAGAAAATAGTAATAACATCTTACCAAAATTCAACAAAAGCCTTCCACCATACACCTATTAAAACACAAATGACAACGTTGTCAGATGTAAAAGAAAAGAAATCTCCCGGGCTCACAGGCACACAACACAATGCATTCTAATGCCCCTTAATAGGATGGTAAAATATGATAACAGGGAACCAGTAGTAGCCACTCCAGAAAAAAGAATAAATATACTATAGCACTACCCTCTTAGGGATTACTGATGAATTGGATCCCCCTATAGTCCTGCACAGCCAGTCATTCAGCATTTTCCATACAAGCTTTCAGAAACCAGTCCTTGAGCGTTGGTTTTGTTATTTTGAGAGGATTAGAACTTGGATAGGGTAAGAGGGGTACAGGATGCCCAAGGGAACCAATATCTGAGGACAACTTCCTGAACTATTCACAAGCTTCTCTTCTCTGATGCAGTCTCTGTTGGAGAGCTAAAGGGGGGGGGGGGGGGTGTGTGACGGACCACCTGTCACCCCGATTGGGTGATTTCGTCAGAGAACTGTTTCCTCACTGATGGGACACAGGACCAAGGTATTATAGCTGGGCATTGCACCCAAGACTAGGTGACACTAGCTTAGGTGCAAAACTAGAACTGTTTATTGAACAGAAAGACAGGTTTTTTATACTCTTCAGAAATAGGGGCAGTCCTCACATAAACAATAAAAACCAAATATTACACATTGGGATAAACATCCCATACAGATAAGGTAAGAGCTTGATCACATTATCCTAAACAGTGCAAACAGCAAACAGTACAGCCAACAGCTAACATTGATCTAATTAACAGTAAGCTAATCAACAGCCAAGCACCCAGACAAGCCAGGGAGCCCACCCCCAGACAGCCCGGCACCTCCAACCCTGAATACACAAAGTACATTACACATGCTGCCTTCCAGGTGTTTGCTTTCACTTGTATAATCTGTCCATCATAAAACAAAACAACATTCCAACAGTCTGAAAAAGTGGAATTAATTTATCTTCATAGATTTCTTGAGGGAGATTATTGATAAATATTTCTGTCTCAAGTGGAAGAGCTTCCCAGTCTGCAGGAGGGCCACCATATTTCCTCTGACCATTAACCTGTATAAGATTAATATTACACCTTTCCATCCACTCTATTAGGTAAGCTGTATTGTCTTCACTCAGAGAATTAATCCAAGCTTCGCTGTCAGCATTCATCATTCTATATACAATATACATATGGGTTGAATTTAAGGGACTAGGATCCAAGAATACTTATAGACTCAATTCATTATTGAGTCCCTTAG